TTTTTAAATCTAAAACTGTTATTACTCATTCATTCTGCAGACACTTTTAACATTCTCAAACGATAATATAAATATGTATACACTTTCAGATTTTTATTTGGCTCTTCACTGGAGTGGCACTTACAAATAAGAAAATTAAACATTGTTAAGAGGAAAGCTGAACTGAAAATTTTAAGCTACAATATTGTACATTGGCAATATAATCTTTTCGTTCTAGCCAATAAACACATGCTACACTACAATACATACACCTGAAATTACCAACTGAACTAAAGTACCATACACCCAACAAATAGTTTTACTTTAAAGTGTGATGTGAAAAAGAATGATCCAGACTCCCTGAATACATCAAAACTTAGAATGTATTCAACACTTACCAGTAACAGGCCTTTGATGTGAGAAGCAGCATTCTTGTCATAAGCATTCATGCCCTCCATGCACTGCTCAATCTTGTCGCTTAATGCCCGAAGCTTTGGTAACACAAATACTTTTGTCACTTCAGGACCAAGTTCCGACAAACCTAAAAATAAAGAGTAAAAGTTAAAGAGATACAAAACTTAAAACCAATAAAGCAGAAAGGGTATACTTAAAGAGATAGATTATATTCATACATTTCTCTGTAATTACAGCCCATTGGATGTGATTTGATAAGGATTAACCCACTGGCCTGGGTACATGTACTGTTGACTGTAGTTTTCTGTGAATTCTGTTGCACACTGATATTTTCATAATTGTTTTGCCACCTGGGAGTCACTTTATAAGCCCTATGTGACCAAGTAGTGGGTGCCATCACATCAAAACAATTCCCGTGCCATTGGCTCATCAGACAGAGCTTGTTTTTTCCATTTGTAGTGGCATCATTTATATGATGAAACTTTTACGCAATAGCACCTAAAGTGAATGTAAATCTTCACACTTTTATCATTTTTAAAAATCATATCAATATATGAGCTTTTACAAGACTAACGTTGCCCACAAACTACTGAATGAGCAAACAGGAAACTGTTGATACATGCCAGCAACCCTGCACTAATGGCCCACTAATAAATTTTAAAAATCACAATTAACATTATTAGTATCATTATGTCATTTGCAGTAATAAGAAGAAACTGACTCCTTTATCCACATTACCATGATGAGAAACAATAGGTTTAAATTTTAATGTTTTTATGGGATAAAAGATGTGGGCTAAAAGATCTTTATTTCAAAATTGGGAAAGAACCAAGCTTGATCTTCATTATGCTTTTCTATCCTGTTCCCACTGATCAAGACACAAAATCCTAAATTCCCCACTGCAAACTCATCAAATATCTTATCTAAACCCTACTGTCATCTATTATTTAATAAAAATCATGGACACAGTTCTAGTGCTGTTTATGTAAATAACTGTACTTTCCTTATCTACATCATATGACCAAATGTTATATATTCTGCGCTATTTCCTAAAACAAATCACAAAATCTAAAGCAGGGGCACCATTAGAATGCCTTTACTGACGTGTAAATTTGTCTTAAATCATACACCATGTGATTTACATACAACTTGAGTATAAAGTTTATAATAATTAAAGCAATAAAGAATCAATACCATCAGGACTTGTTTTAGCCATAGTTCAAATCACACAGCACTTTCTTCAGTTTTATCCAGGATAAACTTGAGTACAAAACAAATTCTTTAAAGGGTACACAACAAGGTAAGAGTGTTTTTGGTACAAAGACTTGAAAAAGACTTAACATTTACTTTTTTCAGTAAGCTATATACTTCCTGCAACATATCAAATGATATCTGATACATATGACATTTCTTATTGCCTCTAAATCAAAATTTAAAGACATTTATTTAATATTAAATCCCAATTTGGTATGCAGTAGTGACATTTACTATATAAATGAAGTGCTCTCCATGGACATGATAAGTAAACTTACAAACACTGGGTTTTGTATTTTTGACTCTTGCGGTATGGTTTATTTTCTTCAAGATCAACAAATAAAAATCCTTTGTTATATACATAATACACAACACATTTCCAAAAATCTAGTTTGGAATTTTCGATCCTAATACTGGATAAAAAAAAGATACATATCCTTACTTACCAGCAACAGCACCATATACAGAAGACAGGGGAGTCCTCTCAGTATTGAGACAGCGAGAAAACACCCTTGTAATTCGAGTCTGCAAGCCATTTGTGGTTGTGTTGTAATTCTTGCAAATCTGTGAAATAAGGCGGGCCGCAAAATCCCTTAAAGCCCAGTGATTATCCATGTCTGGCTTCATGCACAACTGTCGACTCACAATGCATGTCATCACTGATGGTACCAATTCATGCATCTGAAATAAAACATTGAAAATCAATGTTGAGTCACCTTCCCCCACATGTACATCTAGGAGTCTAGAATACGAAATACTACTTTTCAATCCACTCAACCCTTTTCCATAAACACTAAACCTTTTATAACACTTTCCTTGAATTAAAACTTACATATTTTTCCAAATAAAGAGTCTGATTGTCTAACAAAGCCTTGGCCATTCGCATAAGGTAGATGAGAAGAGCCAGGTTCTTCTGCACAACATTCACCCGGATGCCCTCAGCAATGAATGTACACAACCGTGGGACCATCTGGTGGAGACCTGGGTCAAAGGCCAAGCTGTGAAGTGCTTCCTGGAAAGAAGGAAATTATGTATCAATACTTTGCCAGAAATATTCATACTAATTACAATTCCTAAGAAATATTCATACTAATTATAATTCCTAAGAAATATTCATACTAATTACAATTCCTAAAAATTATCATCAATAAGTATATTTAATCTTAAAGCTGGCTCCTTTAACATTTCATTGAAATTTAGCTAAAATAACATTTCTAAAGAAAAGACTTAAAGCGACTAAACATAAAATCAGTATTCTATGTATTTCTCTGTAATTATGTTATTCTGAATGGATCTAATATTTTCATTCATATCATTACAAAAAACTAAGTTCAGAAACTGATTTCAACACTAAAACAACTAGAGAAGCATTTGCCTCCCTTACCCCTCTTTTAGGCTCGTCAGAACCAACACAAGCTTCAGTGATCTCTTTGTAATAAAGCTGTTGTTCTGCAGAAAGTTCATGAGTAGCCAACTGCTTCACCTTTACTGTCTCAATGCTCTTCATGCCTCGGCTAGTGGGAAAACATATTGTTAGTATGGGTAAATTTTAATATGCAATTAACAGATCATGACTGACATTTACATCAGCAGTTACATTAAAAACTGAGGATAAGTAATCTCCTTCTAGATAATGACTCATATCAATTCATGTTAGTTTCATGATCAATGTATGTATACACACATCAAAATTAAGGGTCAATAAATCTTGTGTTAAAAATGGGATTCAGCATAAAAAGGATATTCACAAGGAAGACTCACCCATGAATATGCTTTTGATCCTTGTTCTCCTGCTGAGCTGACAGCTTAGCTGCTGGATCCACAGAGTCCTTCTTTTGAGCATCTTTAGTAATTGGCGGAGGGTTTTCTGGTATAGTTGGCTGTACACCTTCAATGGCCAGCCAGTGAGCTATTTAAGAGAGAAAGGAATCAGTATACATGGCTTAAAATTTCCACATCTGTAGTTTGTCAGTCTTGTCATACACTGCAATATTAGCCTAGTAATGACACTGCTACCCCTTTTGAATTACTTTAAACCCTTGCAGATTGGTACCACTTTAAAAATATGTGTAGCTATGTACATGCCGGGTGGCATGTATGTACATGTCATGGCAGTTGTGGATAAAAAGTTTTTCTCCGATATTAGCGGCTTCATTTATATGGTAAAGCTTTTAGGCAAAAGCACCTAAAGGGAAGATAAACCTTAAAATTTTTAATACTATTAAAAATTAAAGCAAAAAAAAAGCTTTTAGGTGCCGAATGTTACTCACAAACTACCGAAAGAACCAGGTGCAAACAAGGGAAAAAGCTGATGCACACCAACAATCCTGCAATCATGTCCACTTGCTAAATTCTTTTTACCTGAGTTGATTAGGTTTAAAGGTTTTGTAGTTTGTTAGACATATTAACCTATTTATGATAGGTGTCACACATACGTGACACCCGGAAAAATAAACATTGCCAGCTGTTCCACCGGTGCGACACTAGATTAGAGCTTGCACTCTGATTTTGTTGCCTGTGGCGGGTGGCATAGACTGGCCCGCGCACCGATCTTAATACCGCCAGGAATCTGTGATTATCGGCTTCCAAATGGACCGTTGTTAGTGGGTTAAGAAGCATATATATGTACTTAATCAGTATTTCTTGCATCCTTACCTTTTACAAGCTACCCAAGCTTTTTGCTTTGTGCTTAAAAACTGACTTTGTTTATCTGTTGATGTTATACAATGTGATTTTTTAAACTGTTACTGGAACTCACAGTCTCTTCTCAACTCCGCACATCCTCTATGCTCTTATTTTACCATTACCCACTAATCTGGATGTATCAAAATATATACCTTTTTGTTTACCTGTCTGTGAGAGCTGCATTGTTACCTCTTACCTATCTGGGAAGGTTTAAACTTTGTTACTTCCAAAAGAATGATCAATAACACTTATATTTTCTGATTGAAACTGTAACATAACTAACGTTTGACTGTCATCTGTAGTGGGAGCCGTGGCGTTGATGATGATACCATTTCGTTAATTTCAAGTTCTTTATCCTCTAGAAAGTGAAGCTCTCGTCCTCCACCAGAAGCAAATCTGAAGGGGATATGTTCTCCCGGGTGGATACCATAAAGTGGCTGAAAAAATATTAGAAAGATGTTATTACACCTATATCAAATCTCATCCTATCCACACCTAATATCTATATTTAATCATTCTCTTCATATCTCTTAACTAAGTAAGAATTAAATAAATGGAACTCCAAATGTTGGAAGAATATATAACAAAAAATATTCATCAAACAAAAGAAAAAAATATAGTACAATTTCATGACAAAAATTAATCAATTATTTTTTCCCAAAACTTTCCTGCTACAAATTATTGTTTGATATCATGTGATTGCACAAATCCTGAGATACAATAAACTTACCTCTATATTTTTTAATTTTAATACATTATCAAAATCAGCGGTCGAGAAACGTTTTCTCTTGCCATGGTGCATATTTTTCATCCCATCCTGGAAAGATGAGATATCTGTATGTCACAACAAACAAGACTTAGGTGTGACTTAGAAAAAAAAAAAAAAAAAAAAAAAAAAAATCTATACTGTATTATATGCTCTTCATAGGCATACACAATAATCAGTATGTCTTTACTTCTTAGTTGATTTCCATATTGATATATGCTTTTTAATATGTTTCACTTTGTTTACTACATCCTTTAAGATGTTTTTGTATGCACTGCTTTCAGATGAAATATAATAAGAAATATATTATACTGGAGTTCCTATCCCTAATGTCTGTATACTCGGGAATTAGTCTACTGTTGTTACTGCATTAGTACTGTTGCAATATAAACATTAATGAAGATACTTTCTAAATATCTTCTATTGTGGGGAAAAAAGGCTCTTTTACTAATGCTATCAAAATTAACACTGCTATTTTTATCATATACATCATAACTGCTATAATTGACATGAATTACAGCAATATTAAATACCAGAAAATATGATAAAAAATCAAGGAAAAGGGTAAACAGGTGAGACAGGAAGTTCTCATCATTGGCTCATTGGTGACTTAGTACCTGTGGAGCAATCTATGAGTAAAAACAATTACTTCACTAAATACAGAGTGGGCAAGGCATGAACTCATGCCATCCCTGGCAGCATGTGGTTAATATTACAATCAACACAGTTTATGAACAAGAAAATATTCCAAGAAAGTATAGGTAATACTGATGATAAGGAACATATTGCAATATGATAACATGTAAGATCAAGAGAACTAGCATCTTGAATTGTGAAAGAGAGTGTGACAAAGTATGATGATGTCTCGGCAAGTGGAAATGAAATAACTTAAGAGCAACAACCTTCAGTTACATTAAATCTAAGGAAAGCAAATCATCATGTGTTTTATAATTTCTATGACATGCCTCTACTATCACTACTGGCCTCTGTTTTATAATCTGAAATTTAAAATAAATCAACCAAACTGATGGCAAACAACTTACTTTTAGCAAAATACTTGATTAGTAGATTATAAGCTATCCATAAATGTTCACTTTAAAATTTCTGAGGCTTTCACTGGACTAAAGGTGATGAAATGACACTCGTGGACATACATATAACATAAGGTAAGCAGTACATGAATCAATGAATTCTAAAATGTTTTTCTTTTATGATATGGATATAAACTGAATAAAAGATTACTTAATGATAAACAATGTCAATCAATTTGATTACATAAAGTATTCTTTTTTCATTTGGAGAACCACTAACATTTCATAACCATTTACAAGTACTTTTTTTTACTTTATTTTTTTTGGGGGGGGTATTCTGTTTGTGATACTCCTCAAAACGTGATATCATAAAAAGGAGACCAATTGAAATGGTAGTTCTCTTGGGCAAAACAATTTTGAGGGTATACAGACCCATTGCCTTTGAAAACACAAAAGGTTTTCTAAGGATGTGGGCAATAGTCACCTATAGCATCATGAATAAAAATTGGTTGGAGGTTTGTTGGCTTTTATGTATTACAAATGAGACCAATGTGAGAAGATTGCAGGTCAGGCTCATGTGGACCTTGACAGAGCTAATACAGTTATACTAAATACTCCCAATCTGGACGTCAACTTAAGGCGCAGTTCAACAGGTCTTGTGTATGCTCAGATATGGCCGTAAGCAAGGCTTTTTGGGTTGAATCGGTCACTTTGGTGCAAAATCTGGAGGCTGAGGGGAGTCAGCAACACCACAAATGAAAATGTTTTTTTCCTCAGGTATCTCCAGGCTTTCCAGGGTGAAATTATTAAACTGTTGTCTGTAATTCACTTAAAGAAATTATCAATATTAACAAAAGTTATATTAGAGATTTTATATAAAGAATTTAAAGTTAATTAACACAATACTTGTTTTGTGAATGTCAAATACATATAAACTAGAACTGGCTAATTTGAAACAGAGGATCTACAACTGTTTTGACAGCCCATCAGACTAGGATTAATAATTCTGACTCAGTAAATCGATTTCTGTGCTTCTTTAAAATGAATATACGCCATAAAACGTGAAACCACAGAGAAATAGAATAAGTCCCTGGGCTCCATGTTACTCAAAAGAGAAGTACTATATGTGGTGTTATTCAAGCAAGAAACACATGCAGTCTATCACAGCAGTGCTTTTCGCAGTTGAAACGCTACATCTGGCTAGGCAATTGGACATGTCGGGTCCTAGACTAAGGTAACACCAATTGAACCGCGTCTTTAACAGAGAATCCACTGTTTTATCCACCAATTCCTTGTGAGACAAAATAAATCTTAGTACACACCCTTCTGCTCATTTGAGGGCAAAGCTGAATTATTTATCACAACTTCTCCTCTCATAGGAATGAAAATAAGGACTGAATACAATGAATATGTAAAGAACACATTTATAGAATTTTTTTTTTTAAGCATATAAAACAATATTTTTTACATAATCATAAAAATTCAAAAGCATGAATTGTAAAAAGACAATGATATACCAGAAGGTAACTCTGTGATAAATAACAGTATGATGTGTGGATGGGAATGTGGGAAAAGGAAAACATTTATGATTTGGAGACTTTGCTGAAGAAAATATACCATACAGTACCAGAATTTTTACTTTGACACTCACCAAATTACATTCACAAGAAGATAGAGGGAGGAAAACACAACTGTGTGTTGGTCTGGTAGAGAAGGGCCTACAAGGGAAGTGATGGCATGGGTGTAGTTGATGGAAATTTGCCAAAAAGTGTTCGATACACTAGTGGATACTACATGTTTCAGTCATAAAGGAAAAACTAAGGGGGGGGGGGATCTTGCCAGTTTTTAATGAGCCTTTCACAATCACAGGAAATAGGACTGGTCACATAAAACATGATTAGGCACTATCATGGTGAAAAGAATTTTAATGGTTAATCAGATATTATATCTATGCATGCTCTTAATCAGTATCTAATACTTAAAACCTGTCAAAGGATAAGCTCATGCTGTATCAATATTGACCTTATTCTAAACATTTTTAATATGATAACTTATGTAATCTAGATACAATATGATGGATTCTTTTCATCCTCTGATATTCCCTCATACAAGAATTAAAGCCCAGAAACATGCCTACACCCAACAGTAAGTAGAATATTAAGTATTATAGGACAATTGCGTAAAATTCCTATGAATGTTTTTAACGATAACCTTTGTCAAGTCCCCAACTCGAACCACCAAACAAACAAACCCCATCCTAAATACAGAAACTACCACAGATATTGCAATCCTTCCTAACCCAAACACCTACTATTTGCCGTATTTTCCTGGCTGGTATATTACTTTACCCTTATAAACACTGTGAGCAACTTGCAAAAGTAAGTCGCAGTACAATACTTAAAATTTATACAGGCATGACATGTGAGTGCATTCAGTGGCACTTTCCATGATCTTTTTCTTTTATTTGTGGCACTACTGTTGGTGCCTGCAAAATGTTTCTTGTACCAGGAACTGTAACTTTTTGTCAACAAAAATATCATATTCCATTTGCCCAAACTTTTTGTGTCCTTACCGTAAAGATTAACCAAAAGTTTTGATAATGTTTATATAGAGTGAGGTTCATTAGCATGTACCACTATGCACTTAGTAATTGACTGGCTTGCAATTGGGTGAGTTTGTAAGAGATCAATCTAGTGATTGGGCCAGGAACTCAATGTAATTTTATAAAGTAGTTCTGCATAACAGATCATAACAATTTTCGTACCAATAGATTCTTCTCATTCTCTAATTTACATATATATAAAATTTATAATGTGGAAACCCCCAAACCCCAATAGTAGGGGAGAGTATGAAAGATACCTGGGAAATTGCAAGGTTAAGGTATGAATAATATGCACAGAATCAGTAGCTAAACTCCCTGCAACCCCCCCAACCCCAGCCCAGGAAAACAAAGAATCTTCCACATATTCAGGAGTGAATGTCAGACAAACTTGGCATTGGGTGCTCCTGCATGTCGGTTGTACTTTCTCTCCTGCCGTGAATATATGAAGGATTCTTTGTTATCCTGGGTAGAGATCTGGACTGTATAGTGACAGATTCTGTGTACATTATTCCTATTTTATTCCACAAGTTTCGTAGTACCTTTCCTACCCTCCCCTGCTATCAGGGTCAAGATAGTCGCTAATAAGGGGGGGATGGGGCAGACAGTCTCTATACAATAATTTATATATCTGGATAGTAGAGAATGAGAGGAATTCATTGAAACTAAAATGGTTGCAATCCGCTATCACCAATTTTTTTGCTTTGACACGACAGGACATAACTGTTGCTGCTCAGTATAAGAATATGAAATATCAGAGTAATTCATCTGCACCAATATTGTACCATTAGTATTTTATGACAGGGAAGTATTTGTTACATTTCCTGTATAATGTATTATAAAATAAATTAAACTGTAAACCCGGTAAAACCTGCCAGCCTATGCATACACCTAGTTATTATCTTTTGAAAGCAATTATGCTCTATATTTTTTTCAAATTAATCTCGTGTCCCTGAATACTTTCTCATGGATATACATATATATAGGTTGCTAGTATGATTGATTTAGTTTTAATGACGCTATGAATCTCAAGCTAGAAGTAGATGAGGACCCTTGAGGAGTCCGCTCTCCGTCTCTCTTCCATACCTGAATTAGGATCTTTAATCTGAAGGTGACTTCTTCTGACAATTCTTTAGCTACATCGTCGCCTACTGCTGATATCCCTATACTCTCTGCAATCACTTTAATTGACTCTGTTGGAAAAGACGGAGCTACTTGACAGTCTTCCGCCATATTTCCCGATTATCTGTTTGTTTACGCTAAATGTAGCGAGAGCCGCTGCAGAGAGGGTAATGGTTTAAATTGGGGTAGATCTATCACTTTAAATAGACTCGTAGTTATATTCTATCAAGCAGAACCATATTCATTTAATACTGCTAGTAGTGGAGATTTATAATAGTTTTAGATACAGAGAAAGAAAGCCAAAATGAATTAAGAATATTAATGAAGCTACCGCCGTAAAATACGTTGATAGTTTATTCGCTAGTCTTGAGCGCTTTTTAGGCAGTACATCTATATGAAAAAGAAAATATAATCACCATTTCAAAAATATTATCTCTTAAATAAAATATAAACACATAGATTTATGTAATAGTAATTAATAAGAAATCAATATACATCACTGAAAGTCGTCAGTTGGAACATAGAATAAATACTCACAATCACAAAGTGACGTACCGCTTCTCCCGCATTGAGCCTTCCTTTTCGTAAACATTGTACCCGAGGTGTGTTGTTCGCTGGCGTGTCGCCATTTGAAATTTCAGTCGTAAGATCTTAAAGATTTGCAAAATGATTGTTAAATGTTTTAATTAATATTTTGAAATGTTAGTCTTGAAGTAGAAAGGAGCGAGAGGGTGATATATATGCGATATCTCTGGATGATCAAAGATGAAATAGGTTGGGGGGGTCTGTGATACTGCGACCAGCAAGTGTTGTGAACGATTTTACATTTTTTTGCATTTTCTTCTTTTACAGAACAATGGTGAAGAAAGGTACCGGACCCGGAAGGTATGTTTTCTAAAATTTAATTTGAGATTTTATGTTGTATAACCAAAAATTGTGACATAGGTATTACAGTACAGAAATACGGTCGTTTATGTACGCCTCTGTATTCATGTTCGTATTAAAATGTACTTTAAATATTGATAGGTATAGAGTTGAATGGTAGATAGGTAGCTTCAGTAATTATACAGATGACTAAACTGATTTATAGTGGCTTAGAAATATTGGGAAACGAACCAGTAAAGGGAAGAGCGTGCACAAGCAATTGCTAACTGAAACCCATACAAGAGGAAATGGGATATTGTCACGGCATGTGGAAGCCAACAAGTTTCTTGTTCATTACCCATGATTAAATATATATTTTCTCCTACATTAAGGTAATTGAAATTTGATAGGACAGCTTCGTATAGAAAATGAGTAATTTGATTATATTTTCCTTCAACAGGCTTTATGCCAGGGCTGTGTTCACTGGCTACAAGCGTGGTCAGCGCAACCAGTACGAGAACACTGCTCTCCTGAAGATTGAGGGCTGCAAGAACAAGGACGATGGCAAGTTCTACGTTGGCAAGCGCGCAGTTTACGTCTACAAGGTAAGGCATATTACATGAGGTTCACTAGTTTCTCAGGATGTTTTGGCTGCTATTAAGAAAACAATGCTAATACTAAGGTAATGATAAGAAAGAACCCAACACCTTCGCTAAACTTGAGGAAAACAGTTAATATATATATTTGGGCTGAGGTTATGCTTACGGCAGGTGTCTGAGTTTTCGTGATTAGGCATATGTGTATGCGCACAAGTCATTTTTGCACAATAATTATGAACCGAATCAAATCTAACCTAATTGAGTGGCATTGTCCCCTCATGGCAAGATGCCTCCATCTTGTTTCAACATGCTTGTGCAGGACACCAATTCAAGGCTTTTCAATAGTAACAAGTGACCTAATAATTTGGAAGTGATTACAGATATGGGAAAAGAACCCCAGATTGGTGTCCAAGCATGTGTTGTGAAACAAATGAGATGAGGCGGTTTGACATGAAGATATCTCTCAATTAGGTTTGGATTGTTAAAGCATGTGTACCACATGCCTAACTCAGATATGGTATATGGCTGCTGTATGTTAAACCTCAGCCTATATGTTGACATTATGACCACACTGAGATGGAAAATTTGATTATGTAGTGCTCATTGATATATATGAAATCTGTGCAGTTAAAGTCGGAAGGTAAAGAAATAGGTGATGGCAAATGACATGTACACATTAGTCCTCGGCAATGAGATAGGGGTTATGGGACAGAGCCCCAGCTAGAGAAATGTGGTCATTAAGTTGTCAAGAAGAATTTGGTTCATATGGTGATTGTGATTATCCTTGGATTACTTCTGGAATAGGGACTTGGGGTCATGTTAGTTAACAATTGCCCAGTTGTTTGCTTGTTTGGTCCTGATAGTGAAAAGTAGGTGGTTACTTTAGATTTTTCCCTAATATTGCAGTGTGTAGAAAGTGTTTCCTGTTCACTTAATTATTCCTACAAGTGGCTTATTCACAGTACAAAGCACCTGGTAGAATTTAGATAAATAGCAGATCAAACTCGTAACTTGCCAAATATATCTTAAGGGAGCTTTGTTGGCTTGTATTAGATTACAAAGTGAAAAGCGTTTGGTTGTAGCTCTATTTAAAAGGAACGTGCAGAAAGGAAAGGAATTAGTACATTAATAAAAAGTATGAAGAATGTCCTTTTGAAATCATGTATGATCTTGTGGAAAGGCTTGAACCTGAAGTGACTGAAGCATGATTTTTTTATTTGTTTAACCTTCTTGGCTTGGTACATTGTCAGAATAGGGCCATGCAAAGGTGAGAAAATGAAGGTAATTTGTTTAAAAAACATACACATGTAGTCCAGTGATGAGAGGGCTTACCAGTTTCTTTTTCATACATATTACCTTCTGTGAGGGAATTCATTCTACCCACCCATCCACTAAGAGCCAACTGGTTCTAGGGTTGAAGGCTGTGAAAATGGCTTGACAGTACTATACATAACCAGGAAATGCTAGTATTTCTGGACAAGTTCATCTCCCAAGTGCACATTCTGCATTATAAAATGGACTGGGATCTCTGCTTTTATGTTAATACATCCATGATCCTTTATAGCAGATGTCTGTGCAGGGAGATAGGTTATCATAAATTTAGCAGTATCAGTAACATACCACTAGTAGGAACAGCAGAAATTTAGAAGTGGATTGATTACAATTGTGTTCAAGGAAAATTTAGTAACCTTAATATTTTCTGAATACTTGTATTAAGGTAATTGTTATTGATTGATGCACTGTCCAAGGACGAAGTCTGGAAACCAAGGTATCATGCAAACCCAAACCTATCCTTTACTACCTTCTATTTATTCCCCATAGCCCTCTTTATTAGCACTTCGTGTTAGCTTATAGAGAACTCAACATTAGAACTCTGGATGTATTGAGGGTGTTGTGGACTTCCTCTGAGTGGTGCTATGCAGCGGATCTTTTCGTCATTCACTGGGAAATATGAGGCTGCTGCAGCTTAAACCGTTTTTCCTTTATTTATTTCTTATGATGGTGTCCATTTCCCTCTATCTCTGCATGTTGCTCTTGGTAACTTAACTATTATAAAAAAAAAAAAAAAAATGACTTGGCTGGTGCCTCATAAGGTCTTGACATGGTCGTATTTACAGGAAGAGGAGCAACGACAAGTTTTTGCATTTTTACAAGTCATCATAGGGGACTGAAATTTTCTTGGAGGAAATTAATTAATATCGAGTGTCTAGTAGCCTATGGAGAGGAAAGCATTTGCTATTGCTTTTGCTACTATGAGCAACTTCATGCTCAATGAATCTATTGATCATACGCAAATGCAAGAAAACTAGCCTTTGTATGTAATTCCAGACTTATGTAAATATGAGTATTTATTACTATGAAAGTTAGAAAAGGCAAATCAAGGGACTCCAGAGTCTTAGATGAGTTGCCAGGTTTTCCCTTCCTTAGATTAGGTTTACGATAATGGAACACATTTTACCCATATCCACATCAGAGGACAGTCTCCAATACTGGTTGACTGCTGTTTTGCAAAAAGGCATTTGAGAAAACATAAGCAGTATCTTTGAACTACTATACATTGCACATCTTGGCATAGTTGTAGAACTATTTACCATTATTAGTGGATATGTCATGGCCACTGCACAATGGATATCAAAATTTGAGATTTCTATATATATAAACCTAGAATTCCAAGGGAACTATATTCATAAAAATGCAGTGCGAGATGTCTCATTTATTTTGTTACCAGTGTGGGTTAAATGAACTTGGGACTTTTGACAACAAGAGCATATTTCCTTGTAGCTTGGTGGAAACATTATAATCACTAGCACACAAGTTACTTGATGTGTGTGTATTATAATTTATGCCCAGTGCCATTTTACTAAGGTGGTGGGAGATGTGCCAAGGGCAATAAAATAATATGCAATGTGTCATTTCTACAAACAAGAAAGCTGTGTTAAACTTTTTGACTCCCACTGTACATTAGGGACTGGGTAAACACACAAAGGTATTTTTGAAGTGGAAGTGCATGCCAAAATCGCTTGCATTTTAGTTTTGAATATCTGAAGGAATTTGTAAGGAGGCAGTATCTTTATAGGCTCATGTTTACCAAGGGTGTTCATTTGCAGTTAAGATTATTCCATGATTTTTCTAATTGATATATGGTTATTTTGATTGTATGCATAATTGAAAATGTATAAACTTGGATTACTTGTTACTTTTTTTTTATTGATTAAATGTAAGCTAGAATCAACACTTGATTTATTGTTTGACTTGCAAGTTTTAAGATGTTATAACAAACAGCCTATATTTATTGCTTCTCCATAATGTGATATAAGTAAATTGATTATTGTAAAACACTTAAACAATTTACTAGGTTGAGTACAATTCTTAACCAAGTCACGCAGGGTACATTTTGTAGCCAAAATAAAAAAATCCGGGCGGCTACAAAATCGGCGGGCGGAGTTTCCCCGGAGTCTGTCCGCCGCCTGGCTGCGCGCCGCTTCTGCCTCGGAGCGCAGCCCCGAGACAGCATCACACTGGCGGGCAGCCCGACATTACTTATTTTTCCCGGTGTCTCATATATGTGACGCCCGGGGCGAATGGGTTGAGAATATGGTTGGAGGCAAACCTTTGCCAACAGTGCTATAACACTGCCAGCATTGCTTTTGTAAGGTGTTTTTGAAAGTGTAAGATGAAGACTAGTGA